CAGTTAATAGAGGAAAACTTGACCTGCAACAACAAAAGATGCATATTACAGTAACTCTCATTCTCATCAAAGGACTCTCCATCCAGTTTATGCAGCAGAAGAAAGTAACTCACCCATGATAAAGTGTCAGGCTCAACTGTCTTATCCTCAACGTGGATTACTTTGATGGTTACCCAATCACTGCCACTTGAACTAAGCCCATATGCCAAGTACCTTCCATCCTCGCTAACAGACATTGTGTTCAAGGACACAGTTCCATCTTCACTAAGTGTATTGGGATCAAGCAAAACCTCTGGTTCTCCATCCAAATTGTCCTGAACATGATTGCCAAGAAAAAAGTTCAGAAAGGAAAAAAAAACCAACACATGAATCCTCTAAAGTCTAGTCAGATTAAAGACCGTTTAACATATAATTTTTGTATTTTTTTTCCAAACAAACCTGCACATATATAACGTCTTGTGCTTGTAGTCCAGAGTTATGAGAGTAGAAATACTTATTGCCTCGTTTATATGGAGCACCATAACGTGGATGATCAAAGAGCTTTGTAACTTTCTCACGAATTTGCTCACGAGTATTACATTTTTTAAGCACTGATTCACACAATTCAACCTGCTTCAGCACAAACTCCTTTGTTTCTGCAGAATCAGGATCTTCAAGCCTAAAATGAGAAGAAAAAAAAAAAAATCAGCTAAATGAACGTTTTCTTGGCAACCAAACAGATAAAGAACATTCCTATTAACAACAATTAACCTCAATGAGAATAATCTAGAACAATCAAGTTCAATTAAAAAGAAGAACAAGAAGAAGATCAACAACAACAACAATAACAATAACAACAACTGCTTTCAAACTCAGGCACAGGTATCGATCAAAACATATCGATTAGATCTCCACCAAAACAGAGAATTCACAAACGCTTGGTTCAGTCACGAAAAGCAATTCAGGCACAGGTATAGGTAAAAACTTAACCATTAGATCTCCACCGAAACAGAGAATTCGTAAATGCTCGATTCAGTCACGAAATGGATCTTACTCCTAATAGAGTAACGAAGAGCAATCAAATTCAATCAAGAACAACGAAGAAAATCGATTTTAAGTTGGAAACACAACTACGCATCAGAAAATCTCCATTCAACCAAATAAGACACAAATGCGAGTTCAAATACCATCGGTAAGGATCGGAAATCTTGACGCCGTGATAATCGTCGACAACGGACTCGTCTCTCCGAGCAATCGGATATTGCAGCGGCTGGTCCAAGGCAGAGAGCGATCCCATCAATCTAGCTTTTGAGGATTTATGGTTACTGTGGATTTGACTCTGTTTGGCTGAAAATCTGCGCGAAGGAGCGCTTATAAATACAGGGAGAAGGAAAGGGAGGGCTTCGAAAAGGCGCCTAAAGCGAAGAGTATTAATAGAGAACATGAGGCGGGTGAGGCGTCCGCATTAAGGTCATCTTTTTGGGTAATAAAGGAATTTCTAAGCCAGTTGTTCGGGAGTTTGTGGCGCCCTTGGTTTTGGGAAGTTGTTTTGGGATACAAAATGGCGATAGTGTGTCGCCATTTTGTGTTTATTATGTTGTCATGATTCTTTAGAATTTTTTGGGCCCAGCAATTCTGCTTTTCTAAACTGAACTTTCAACGAGGTTTCCATATTCTTTGGCATCTTTAAGCTTTTTATTGGACAACATTTTTCAAATGCTTTATTTATTTTTATTTTTTATTATTTTAAAAATATATATAATATTAATTAAAATAAATATTAAATATATAAAA